CTTCTCGTCCTCCTCTCCTCCTCCTCCTCCTCTTCCTCCTCCTCTCCTCCTCCTCTCTCCTCCTCCTCCTCCTCCTCCTCCTCCTCCTCCTCCTCCTCCTCCTCCTCCTCCTCCTCCTCCCCCTCCTCCCCCTTGTCCTGCTCCTTGCCCCTCCACGGAGGGAGGTGCCGATCCGTCGCGGGGGCGGCGAAGGCCAGCTTTGGGGGGCGGGCGTGGGGGGGCCAGCTCTGCGGCCGCCCCCCTCCCCCCCGAGGATGGGCAAGAAGATGCTCGACGCCATCGTGGCGCACGCCAAGGCGCCGGGTCGCGGGAGCGGGGGGCTGCCGCTCCCTCGCGCTGTCCCTTCCTGCTCGTTGGCTCCTCCTCGTGCTGCCGCCGCTGTTCCTCCTCGTGCTGCTGTTGCTGTTGCTGCTGCTCCTCCCCGTCCTCTCCTCTCTCCCCCTCCCCCTCGCCCAGGAGAGAGGCCTGGGGGATAGTTCTGCTTTGTTTTCGTCGTCCCTGTTGCCCGCGCTTGCGGCAGGGAGGATCAGGCCACTGTCTCGACCCCAGCAGGCTTTGCTCATCCTGATTACTCGAGAACGGGAAGTACAAGTGCCTTACCCCTGCCTCCCTGGTTTGAAGGGTAGGCGCTGCTGCTTTTAACAGGACTAGCGGTCATCTGCGTCCCTCCTCTCCTCTCTCCCCCTTCGCCTCCCTTCTCCCTTCTCCCTCCCTCCCTGCGAAGGCATTCCGCGCCCTCTGCCATGCTCCCCTTTCAAGCTCATCGCCCCAACTTCCCTCTACCCCGCTTCCCCTCCCAGCCTGTGCCTTAACCTGGATCCCTACCTCACCCCCGACTCCCAAACCCTTAGGCCGAATCCTTAAACCCCAACCCTGTAATCCTTAGCCCTCGCCCCCAATCCCTTCAACCCTAACACTTCACCGCTGGCCTTCAATCTCTGAAATCACTTTGTTATGTAATCAAAACCCTCCCGAGCATGTAGCCAATCATGACTGGTTGCGTTTGGGCAGGAGCCGCAGAGGACTTTTGCGGGACAGCACCACCTATTGCATGCGGCGAAGTCGCTCTACAGCTTTTTGTGTTCGGCTTTCCCCCCACTCCCGTTTGCTACACATTCACCTCTGGGCGCTTCGTGCGTCTCCACCTGCATACCCAGAAAAGATTGGTAGGCGAACCGACGTCATAATGGAAGTGCAGAGTGGTTAGCGAAACGCGGAGGGTACTTCGGTTTTGCGGTTTCAGCGCCGATACCACTGGTTCAACGTGGGCGCCCCAGGCTTCCTTTGCATCCTTGCTGCGCGTACTTCTTGTGGACACGTGGCTCGACCACTCTCCCCTTGCTGTTTCTCGCCTAGGCTTCCCCTCTCTCTTTGTCTCTTTCACGGCCAAGTAAGTACATCATTGTGCCCCAGTTAATGAGTCCAGTTCCGTGCGAGTGCTTCGGATGCTCGTCGACAAATAAGTGTTTACAGTGGTGGATCATAATGGGGCTTGGCGCAGGGCGGACTGCGGGGAGAGCATGCATTTTCGCAGATCCGCGCGGATTTCGTTGCGTCGGCGCTTGGCCGCAGTGGCGGACCTCCGGCGCCGATCCGAGAAGCCCGCGCGGACTTCCAGACGCTTCTGCGTATGCCGCTTCCCTCTCTGAGAAAACGATTGAACGTCTCCCCCCCTCCTTCAGGTCGACGCTGGGTTCGCGTCTGTCCAGCACGTGGACCAGGTGCCGACCCAGGCCCGCGCTGGGCGCGGGGCGAGTCGAACTTGCGCGCTGCAGTGGTGGGGCGCGCCAGAGGGGGGGGCCCACCCTCGGCGCACCGAGAGAGGCGGCGGAGGCTGGCGGGAGGCCGTCGACTCCCGCTGTGAGTGACGAGTTTTCGTTTCTCAAAGCGTGAATTACCTACCCCGCTTTCGCTTCCAGGCAAAACCAAGTCATACCATACGCCTCCTCGTCGAGCGGCCTGACCAGTACATGCCGTAGTTTGGCATCGCTTGGTATCTCTTGGAAGCGAGGGTGGTCAAAAGCGAGGTAGGTTTGTTTGCCCCCTAGTTTCTGCTGATGGAAACTGGCGGCGGCTGGGCAGAGACTTGCGAGAGTGAAGCTTTATTTTACCCCCCCAAGAGAGGTCAATGCTGGGGCAGCCGGGCTTTCCGCCGTCGGCTGCGCGAGTGGGCCTTTCTGTTGTTTCGGGGCTTGGGCTGTCTTGGGTAGCTCCTGGTCAGGGTATTGGATGCGCTGGTCGTATGGTCGGCCTGTGATAAAGTGCTGTTGCCACTCCACTATCGCTCGCGTGACAAGCAGGACGCGACGGACAGGATCGCATTTCTCCTGCGTTCCCTTGCCCCCCGCTAAGACGAAGATGGCCCAATGCTTTGCCAAATGAGGAGTAACACGCGGACTCGAAGGGCAAACTCCTCAGAACGAGTGCGCTTTCCTGCTCCAATACTCGCCTCAGAAGAAGCAGCGGTGCAGAATACATGCTGCTCCCTCCTCCTCTTCCACCTGCATCCCCCATCCCACGTTACCCCTACTGTCCCATTCCTCCATGTCTCTATTCCTTGTTCCCCTCCTTCTGTTTACTCCTTCAGACCAGCCGCCGTTTTGCGCTTCAAATGAAAGCTCGAATGACGATAGGTCGACCACCGCGAGGTACTTGTTTCTAATTCTTACATCGGTGCACGGCAGATGGGGCTTTCTAGTCTGCAGGGTGTGTCTCTCCGTGGTGCCTCCCAGAAGCTGGACGAGATGCAGAGCTTCGTCATGGCAGAGACTTTCAAGCCTCCCCCCCGCTGCTCCTTTTGGCGACGCTTCAGGGACAAACGGGTGCATATGGAACTGGCGATGCGGTGCATGCAGATGATGATGACGACAATGACGACGGCGGTGAGGCTGAGGATGAGGATGATGCTGAGGATGATAATGATGATGAGGATGATGATGACGACGATTATGATGATGATGATGATGCTGATGATGATGATCATGACGATGACGATGATGATGATGAGGATTATGCTGATGATGATGATGATGCAGGCGACGACGACGATGATGATGATCATGATGATTACGATGATGATGCTGCTGGTGATGACGACGATGATGATGCTGATGATAATGGTGGTGCTGCTGCTGTTGATGATGATGATGCAGATGATCATGATGACGATGGTGATGCGGATGACGATGATAATGATGATGATGAGGATGATGATGATCATGATGATGCTGTTGCTGCTGCTGATGATGGTGGTGGTGTTGGTGATGATGATGGTGATGCTGATGCTGATGATAATGATGATGATGATGATGATGATGATGATGATGATGATGAGGCTGATGCTGATGATGCTGATGGTGGTGGTGTGGGTGATGATGATGATGATGATGATGATGATGATGATGCTGGTCATGATGATAATGATGATTATGCTGATGATGATGATGATGATGAGGATGCTGTTGCTGCTGATGATGAAGATGACGCTGCTGCTAATAATGATGATGATGATGCTGATGATAATGTTTCATGATGATGGTGATGATGATGATGATGATGATATTGGCGAGGCTGATGACGACGGTGACGTTGTTAGTGGTGCTTCTGATGATGATGATACTGATGAGGGTGATGCTGACGACGATGATGATGATGATGATGATGATGATGATGATGATGATGATGATGATGATGATGATGATGATGATGATGATTATGATGACGATGACGATGACGATGACGATGACGATGACGATGATGATGGTGATGATGATGATGCTGATGATGATGATGATGCTGATGCTGATGATGATGATGATGATGACGATGATGATGACGATGATGATGATGATGATGATGATGATGATGATGATGATGATGATGATGATGATGGTGACGATGATGATGGTGATGGTGATGGTGACGATGCTGACGATTATGATAATGAGGAGAAGGAGGAGTTGGAGGAGGAGGAGGATGACGATAATGAGGATGATGAGGTGGTTGGTGATTATTATGGTGGTAAGGATGGTGCTGATGCTGATGGTGACAACGACGGTGACGACCATGACCGGTGAGATTAGAACGCTTGCTTTGTTGTTTGGGGGGGGAGGCAGCCTCGATAGCTCGAACATATGTGCGTTTGTGATGTTCAGAGTGAGGATATTCTATTACAGTATAGTGTTTTCTAGATAGCTGCGCAAGAATTGGGAGCAGCCGCCAGACAAGAAATCTTGCCGACCCAGTGCCGCTTTCACTGGCGTGCGTCGTCGGCGCGCGAGCTCCCTCGAAACTCGAACCGAGCCAACGCTCCCTCTGGGAGCCTATACTTTGGCGACCAACGCAGGAACCGAGGCTTCTGATTAGCCTGGCGAAGAGCCCGACCCTTGCGTAGGGCACTTGTGGCTCCCCTGCCCACCTGCGCTGCAGCTTCAGTTTTCCACAGGGAAAGAAGCGCGCGAACGTTGTGTCAATGTGAGCGCAGGCCATGATGTGGTCTTGCCTACTTGCACTATATTTTGGGCTCCCTACGCGGCACGAGGTCACGAAGCGTGTGACGGGTGTGCCGAAGTGAGCCTGGGCCAGCTCGGTCATACAGGGAGGTTCACACAATGTCATCGCGCGCTGTCCGGAGGCATGCGTCTCTGCGGGCTCTTTCACTGCTGGTGGATGCATATGCTGTTCCGAGCGTGGTTGCCAATGGGGCATTGCGTGCGTTCGCTGCGTAGGAGGAGCATGTCCGTATGGTTTCCCAGAGCTCCGACATCGTGAGCTTCCGATACAAACATCGTTCATCGATTTCGGCCCCCAGAAACCTGTTGTGAACTCCAGGACATTCAAGCACAATCCAAGATGAAACACCAGTCCCAGAATGTAAACGACGTCGGAGATTTGGTTTGGTCGCTGAGGTTCTCAGAGCGGGGGGAGATTTGCATCTCGCGATTGCCGCAGGTACCTCTTCCTGCTGTTCTCGCCAGCGGATGCACTGGACCTGGACACGTGCGCCCCATGAATCCCGTAAACCTGCTGGGTCAGATGTCCACAAGGGAGGAGGATGATGAGGATGAACAGCTTTGCAGGCTTTTGGTTTGATTGGTTTTGCTTTGAGTTCGATTGCCTCACACGCCCGGCACGGCGACTGATAACTTTGAGTATTGTTTTGCGTTTCATTGGACCGCCTTGCTTTGACATGCATCCACTTGCACTGTCTCGCTGTACATTGCATTGCGCAGATCATGGTGCAACATAGTACCGCACCGGACATCCTGGGGTATGTTTCACTTGCCACTAGCTTGCCGTTTCGTCTTGCGTATAAGGGGGGGGGTCGAAAGGAGGAGGAGGCACCACCAGACCGAAACGAGTGCGCAGAGCGGCAGCATCGACAGAAAACGATCAGGAAAAAGGACTAGCATGCGCAACTCGACGGTAACGGAAAAATAACCCGACAAAGCTATCTAAGACGAAGCCCAAAGCAGGCATCGTCCGCAGAGAGAAGTGGACAGGGTTCCCCCCGCCACTCCCCCGAGATGGGGTCCTTACCCGCCTCAAGGGACTTGAGACAGGTGGCGTCCTTACTGGATGCATTGCCCTCGCAGTGGCCCCAGAGCCGCGAGCGCGGGGCCGTCGGCTGGGCCCGCGCGCCGCAACGAAGGCAGAATGCAAGGGTAGCAAGGGTGTCCCCGAGCGCTACTAGGCCCACCAGGGCCTTGAGCGGGGAGGGGGGCATCAGGGAGAACAGCATGACGCGCTGCCCAGGAACCCCCAGCAGCGGACCCCCAGAGGTCCGAGCCCTCTTGCAGGGCGGAGGCCCTCACGGGCCGCCAGGGGGGGGAGGCCCACCGGGGCCGACGGCGGGGGGCGGGGCCAGGGGCCGAGGGGCCTTCGGGCGCGGCCCACCAGAGGACCAGTCCTCCATGGCGTCCCCCCCCGTCCTGGTACGCGAGCGGGGGGCAGGGGAGGGGGGCCCGGGCTCCTCGGAGCCTCGGGGGCGAGCGGCCCTGGTCAGCCTGCCCGCCGCCTCCTCAAGGTCCTCGTCCCAGTGCTCCTCCGCCGTCCTGAACCGCACCCGCTTAAACGCCAGGGACCGCTCACAAGGCCCTCGGTTGCCAGGGGCGGCGGCTCCTCCACGTCGGCGGCGGCCTCAGCAGGGCCAGCCGCCGCGCTGGCCTCGGAGGGGCTCCCACAGACGTCCCCGAAACACCCGCACCACCCGAAGCAGGCGCCACGTGTGAAGCCTCAAGCGAAACGCACTCCAGGCCCCAGAGGGCCGCCGCCTCGGCAACCCTACACGCACCCCGCTTGAGTCTCGCAGCACCTTTGGCGGAGACCGCGAAAGCAGAGCAACGATCACACGACCACTTCGGGCCCCTGCGCCGCACGCGCTGCGGGAAGGCGGGGGACTCACCGCCAGGCCGCAGCACCTGCGCAGGGACCCCTGCGCGAGCGGCACCTGGTTGTCCCGCCCGCTGCTGCTCCCAGCGGCGGCGCAGGGGGGCTGCGCGGCGCCTCGGCACGTGGTCGCGGTCGGGCAGCACGGTGCCGTCGAAAACCATGCGGGAGGCTGTGCCGATCCAGGCCGCGACCTGGCGCACATGCTTCAGGGCGTCGCTGTGTCTCTCGACGATGGCCTGAGGGAGGTCGTGGATGCGCCGTCCCCGCTTGACCGCCGCATCGGCCAGGTCGTTGCATCTCCTCTTCCAAGTGTCGGCTCTGGAGTGACCCTTCACATGCGATGCGTGTATCGGTGCCTCCACATCCCCATCCAGGGTCACGCCGCCATGCTCATCAACATAGTGGTAGATGCGCTTCCATAGATCCACACTCTCGCGCCGAGGAGAAGTGCACCAGCGTCGTCCTTGCTGGATACCCTCCAGCAGCGGCATGTAGTCCGTAAAAGTATGCAGTGGGACTACTCTCACTTTCAAGGGCTGCAGTACTGCGTACAGCTCAGCACGCCCTGAAGTTTGGCGAGGTCCAGGGAGAGGCCCAGAGGCGGCGCCAGAGTACCTGCCATCCCCCACCACCACGAAACCCCATCCAGCGATGTCGGCCACGTCCCAGTGCAGAAGCTTCTTGCAAGAACCGTCCGTGAAAACAGATCCAGTCACATTGAAGTGGTCCTCGGTTCTGGCACCACGGTCGTAGCACCAAACCGCACTATCATTGCGATGGGGAATGGCGGGCAAGAAAGATTTGGGAAACAGCCCACGCGGGTACAGCAGATCACCAGGAACCGTGCCGCGAGCAGCGGCCAAAATGGCATCCGCCACTGCTTGCCCACGCAGGTCATCAAAAATAGGACACGCCCAGTACCGGTGATGCAAGTGCCACACACACACACACCTGGGCAGTTCCCACTATCCTCGCCCTCGGCATAAGCGTACTGACGCAACCTTTTCTGAGAGAAATGTCCGCCAAGCACGGCGATGCACAACGTGCCCTCGCTACCGGATCAAGCACCCAGCGCTTGGCCTTAGGGCCAGGATGCAGCATGCCTCTGATCGGTGCCAGTCAAACGCTTGCAGGATCCTTGTGCGAAGGGCCAGGGATCTCTGGCGTGACGTCGGGCCTCTGTGACCACTGCAGCCAGCCGTATGCCTCGTAGTCCTTGAGCACGATCTACTTCACCAGCGCTGGGGCCGCCTCCCTCAGGTCCAGAGCCTCACCGTTCCGCGTGCACAGATGTCGAAAGCAGAGGAACTTGTCCAATCCAACTTGAGCAACAAGCGAGCAAAGGCACCCGCGGGGCCACGAACGTATTTCCAGCTGGTATCCAAGGACATCGAAGCAATCGAGAACAACTGAGTCCTCCACGCCAACCGCATCGAAGCAAGGTCTACGTCGCCAGCGTGTATCATGACCGCCCAGCTGTGGATGGGGCCGACGATGGCGATGGTGTCAGGCTGGTGGTCAGGGGCAGGATCCAGCCGCGAGGCCACCCAATGCGAACAGCCAGGTGGAATGGCCTGCCACCGATGCTTCACCAGAGAGGTCATGCGTTTGACGATGCGCGGGGCAGCACCGACGACGCCCAAGCCGTGGGTGATGGCAGGGCTCACTGTTGCACGCGCACTTTTCCCGAACTTGCCCCCGAGCGTGCCCGGCCTCTGGAAGTGCCTGGGGCGCTTGGGCACCTTGCGCACGCGACGGCGCGGGACCGGGCCCGTGCCAGGACCTCGAGCCAGGCCTGCGCCCGAAAGCCACATCGCCTCAACTTGGAGGCGACCGCAGAGGCGACGTTGGCGTCAGACGCCGCGAGCGTGGCCTTGGACTTGGCGACGGGCACCCCCAGGTCGACGAGAGTGTCGCACAAGAGCTGGATAGCCTCACGCGCCCTAAGCGATAGAAGCTCTCTCTTGGCTATCACCTGCAGAGTCAAATCGTCCGCGAACATATCCAGGGAAAAGGAAAAGCCAGCGCCAGGATACTGCTCAAATAGCCGCGCCTCTAGCATAAGCTGACCCATGTCTGTCAGCATTAAAAGCTGAACAAAGGCCATGGCAAACTTGCAACCAGGAAGCACCCCCTGCTGGACCACCACTGCGAGCGACGAAGCTTGCAGCCACACCAGGCGCCGTGGGGAGCGCTACGTGGCCCGGGCAGCGGAGAGCAGCCGCCTCGGGAAGCCATGCTTGGCCGCTGCGGCCACCGACCGACGCCGGCCGATGCGGTCGAAGCACTTTTCGATGTCCACGATCGCGATCGCGGAGACGACGCCGTCGTCGGACGCGAGCGACGCCTCGGCCCACAGTAGGGCCCGAGCTGCCACGTCCAGCGTGGTTTTGCCCGTCGCCAGCGCGAATTACGGCCTGTCATGCTCGAGGGGCCAAGTCCGCGACTGCTGCGCCCGCCCCTGGGAACGCGGTAGGTCGCTTGCAGAGGCGCAGTGGGTCGCCACTCACCCTTCGGCTTGGCCAGCAGCACGATGTGGGTCGGCCATCATCTGCGTCGGCCACCTCTCCCAGTGCTCGACCAGCCACAGGATGTACACCAGGAGCGCAATGGTGCCGTCCGTGAGGAGAGGAGACTGATGGCACGAGGAGACAGCCGATCAGCTCCTTGCCCAGTGTGTCGCCTGAAGGTCTTGGCAGCAACCCTGACCCAGCCTACCTTCGGCGCGGGAAGCGAGGCCTTGGGGGGCCCGACGGACATCCCCCACGACCTCAGCGGTGCAACTGAAATCACTGAGGTGCCGCACGCCAAAACAGTCGCCACTCGCACCGGCCCCGTCAACCGACTCCAGCGTGGGCATGTTGGAGACGGCCGGCGCGTGCCAGATGCGGGACTGCCCGCCCATCTGGTCATCGGCGACATTGTGCAGGGGTGGCGTGACGTCCGCGACGCAGCACTTGGGAGTGTGGAACACCATGGGGGCACGGTGAAGCTGAAGAGCGGCTTCGCACGCTTGTTGTGACACTCATTGGCCCGCTGCGCGAATGCGCGGCGTCGCCCAGCCGCAGCCTTGTCCTCCGGCGCTTGGGCGAAAGGCTACAGCCAGGCGATGGCAACGCGGGCGGCGTCGATGGCCGCCTCCCGCAGGTCCACCAGGTCCACCCGCGGGGGGCAGCCAGGCGAGTGGGCGGAGGCGTCGAGCTGCGGGTCAGGCGGCGGCCCAGGTTCGGGTACAAACTCGTGGGCATTGTGATGGCAGTCCCCGCCGCGACTAACCACTACGCCACGAGTAGCACCTCTTGGCCAGGCCACCACGGGTCAGGTCCGACACGTAGGCGCTGCGATGGCAGTCCCCACTGCGACAAACCACTACGCCGCGCGCTTGTCCTCCCCAGACCAGGCCTATGCCGCCACAGTCACCGGCAGCAGGTCGGTCACGTTGAGCCGCGACGAGCCCTCCAGCGCCAAGATTACCGCCTGCTCCACGAACCTGCGGGACAACCGTCTTCTTGACAGTGATCCTCCTGCGCGTCCCCATAACGATGTGAGCCCCTGAGGCGCCCCCTCCCGTGGGGGCTTTCTCGGGGGCCCTTCCGGCAAAACAGCGCGA